CCCTGCCTCTCACACGCGTCGTCTTCTTACTTCTTTCCTCTGAGCTGACAAAGGATGTTCCATCCTTCCTCACAACACAAATTCCAATAGCTCATTGTGTGGAGTCTCCAAATCATTTATTCATAACAGAAGAGAAAACTGCCCCATAACATTCATAAAAGCAGAGCCGCACCACCCGGCGCACATCCCGAGTGCTCCGCCTTCCAAGGTAAAGACAAAACATTGGCCCAGCTGTCCAGCTGCTGAACTACCAGGTTCTGTTGGGGGTGGGGTGCGGTTACAAGGACCACATGGAAACAACCAGAAATCTCCATTCTTAAGCACACTGGCAATAAATCCAACACCTCACATCACATGTTCCCTCCTGCCTGAATGACTGCGTTGAGTACTTGGAAGAATGGACTAAGTTAATTTTGTTAAGAAGGAAATAAGATATGCAATCGGTGCGACAGAGTAGCACGTTTTCTTCTTCATAAACACAGATTCAGAAATAAACAGGAGGCTGTGTGTGTCACTACTGGACGGCAGCACAGAATAGAGAAACCGGCATGAACTTTAGACTTGAGGACCTCAAATTGAATCCCATTTCTGCTAATTTAATTCAACAAATATGGGCGAGGACCTGTGAGGTCACAGGCCTGTTGCCAGGTCCTCGGCAGACAGTGCTGGGAGAGAGCTGTGCCTGTCCATGACGAGGTGATTGCCTGGTGGAGGGGCTGCGATGGGGCAAATACATTCCTGCAGACAGGTGAAGGCAACATTACATTTGTGTGGGAGCCTCAGTAAAAAAAAAGGGGGGGGCGTTGGGAGTCAGGAACTATTAACTTTATTTGTCAAAAAGGCAATAGGGCAGTTCCCTCAGTTGGCCAAGTCTGAGATGTGTTTTGAGGGATGTGGCAAGCAGCATCGCATGCACAGAGAATTATAAGCAAATTGGATTTGTTGTGATATAAAAGAGGAGGAATGATAGGAGGTAGGTTTGAAAGGCACTAGGATCCAGGAAGGGCGGGCCTCGAATGTCATGTGGACATTCACATCTCAGTCCCATGGCATTTGCGGAGGTATTGGTCTCTACTTATAGGCCACTTGCTTTATGTGAACATATGGCAAGTTATCTAACTTCTCAGTTGCCTAAATTTTAAAAAAAGAAAATGTTATGTCCCTTTATATAAAGGGCTGACAATAAACTGAAATGTTTACTGCCCCCCACCCCCTACTAGGCAAACGTAGGGTGGGTGCAGAAACCGTACTTGGGACTCACAGGTGCAGAAACCGTACTTGGGACCCACAGGGCAGTGGCCTGGAGTGAAAAAAGAACCAGTGTTTGTTCCTGTTCACGTATGTGGGTTTAGAGACAGGGTGAAAATAAGACGTCGAGTCCAAGGAATTCAGTGAGCATAAATCCAGGTCTGAAGAAAACCCTAAGTGAGAGAGAATGTGTTGATAGAACAAGTGGTCTGGGAGGCCGATAAGACGATCACGTGGTGCAAGAAGATGCGTGAACGCGCGCGTGGTGCAGTGTAAAATCAAGCAAGCAGGAGCTCAGCCTCGGTACAGGTGTGTGCTGATGGTGTTTTGTGTGTTCATTTATGAGTCAAGACGAGATATTTTCATTTCATCTCACCCGCTTTTCTATACACTAGCCTGTACTTCCCCAAACAAGGACCCTCTCTTGCATCACCGCCATGCATTCCCAGTCCAAAAACCAGCGCACACATAACACTGTCGCCAGATGCATGCCCCATTCTCATTTCACCGAACGTGCTGACAATGCCTCATCCCCCTGTGGGGCCAGGACCCAGCCCAGGTGCGTTTAGTTGTCCTGTCTCCTTCCATCTGGGACAACTCCTTGTCTTTCTTAGTCTTTCATGCCCTGGACAATCAGAACGAGGACAGTTTTCATTACGTAGGATGACCCTCAACCTGCCTCGGGCTTTGCAAAACTACCACAGAGACAATGCTGTGGTCTTCTCAGTGCGCCGGCTGGGGCGCAGGATTCCTTCCCGCCCCACCCCCTCGCAGCTGGTCTAGCTTTCCCCCTGCATCACCGTTTCCCCCTTTGTATTATATTCATATTTTGTGGGGAGATACTCTAAAATTACCCATCCCCTATTTCACTTAGAACTATTTCTGTATCTTTTTGGGAAACAGAGGCTTAAACTCATGTACTGTTTTACTGCAGAACCTCTCAGGTACTTTACTATAGTAATACGCATTGTGATTTTCTAACACTTTGCAGGCCAGAGACTATTTTTTTATTTTGTTTTGTCTTGTTTTGTTTTAATTCACAGCATTTCTGAGGACTAGCATTTGGATTAATGTGCTTTAGACACTGGTCTAAACAATGAAGAAGGAAATGTTGTTGATAAGATGGTCCCCAAATGACACGTCTGTTCGACTGTGGCCCGTTTGTTATACACGCTCTCCGGCAGATTCTTCAGCGCCCCATTGTTTCCGCAGTGGCAGTATTAGGATGCACGGCTTTGTTAACTCAGCGAGCCGAGAGTAGTGGTTAGTGGGTCAGCACCTCTGTCGCTGGGTGATCCCAGTCTAAATTGGGATTGCGGTCCAACCCTGGATCCAGTAGCGGAACTCCCTCGCAGCAGGTGGAGTGATGGTTTTCCCAGCCTGCATTTATTTACTCCCTCAGTGTGTATGCTGTGCAATGTCTCTTTTGGGACCAACAAGCACAGAGCTAACACTGTTGTCTCAAAGGGACTGCTTGCAAAAGGGGAGCTTCATGCAGCCCCAGGCGGGAGAGGCGTGAGGCTCTGCGCTGGCTTCCGAGGCCCCGTGGCGGTGCAGGAAGCGCTGAGGTCACAGCTCGAGCGCCTGCTGCCTCTCCTTCCAGAGCTCTTTCCCCCTCAGCTCACTTCGTTGGGGCTCCCATGAAACGCCACGCCGGCTTGCTTTCCATGAAAGCGCTGTAGTAAACTATCCCACCAAGCCAAATTGATTCTCATCTGTGCTGCTTGATCACGTTAGGCGTACATTAAAAGGACACAACAATCTCTGCATTTTCCCTATGATAAAATCAGCCATCGGATATCATTAGAAATTTAGTTTAGATGAAGTTCTCTTAATCAAGCTCTTACTCTTGCCCCAAAGGAAGGGATTGTCATTTTAAAAAACCTCTACACAACCATGTCTGTTTTATTTACGAAGGTAAGGGGATCTCTTATTACTTCCACATTTCTCTGTTCAGAAAAGATTAGAGCCATTTGTAAAAATGAAGCTTATGCAGGGCATGCCCTTTTCCAGACCATTAAAAAAAATTAGATTTGTCTGAGGACTTTTCCCTAGAATATCCTACATTAGAATACTCTTAATTAAGATTTACTTTTATGTACATTATAGTAACAAATAAGTAGAAAAAAGATAAACGTACAACTGTAGTCGACTAGTTAAATAGATACTACTAACGGACCATGAGCATGGTGATGTAGCAAAATCATCGAGTTGTGAAAATGCTCATGCTTTGAACAAATTAGTCTCAGAACAATCGGTAAAGCATGAGGTTAGTCTTGTTAACTTTAAATATGCACATGTGTGCATAGAAGAAAGGCTGGAAGTGAAGGCCCTGTGAACACACACCTGAGAGCACAGTAGTTGGAAGCGTAAGTTGGACTTCAAGGAACTTGAGTATAATTCTGTTCTCTCTCTCTAATTCTGTGATGTTAGGAAAGTTAGTTTGCCTTTTGGAGCCTTAGTTTCATATCTAAAAGGAGGTTAAATAATAATGCCTAACTCTATATAGTGGTTAGTTGGATTAAATAATATGTGCCAAGCTCTTAGCATAAAGCAATTGCTCCGTAGTGGTAGAGATTATTACTACTTATTTAATTTACCAAAATGTTACCAATGGTTATTTCTAGGTGAGGGGGTCTTGCTATTTGTTATGTTTTTATGTTTTTATCACAATATATAATATATACAATGTAGATGAATATGTATCTAGTATAGTGTGTATTTAATTACATAAAGAGTATATGAAAAAAACATATGTATCTACATGATATATATATATCCCTATCTTTTGCTTCCTGTCTCTATGCAAGTTTTATTTATGATAACACTGATTCACTTTCATTTGACTCACATGAGATAAAGAAGGCAAATAGTGTTATCTCTTTGGCACAGAGGAAGAACTTATGACTCTGAGAAGTCCTCCGGCGGAACACAGCTAGTCAGTGTCATACTGACACTTGAACCTAAGTCTTTTTTTTAAAAAAAAAGTTTACTGATTTTTAGAGAGAGGAAGGGAGAGGGGTAGAGAGATAGAAACATCAATGGGAGAACATCAATGGGCTACCCCCCGCACGCCCCCTCCTGGGGCTCGAGCCCGCAACTCAGGCATGTGCCCTGACTAGGAATCGAACCGGAGGCCTCTTGGTTCATGGGTCGATGCTCAACCACTGAGCCACAAAGGCTGACGGAACTCAAATCTTGTGATTCAGAGTTCACTGTTAATTCTCCAAGACTAAAATAAAAAATATGCTAGATCTACTTTTCTTGGAATAGTATAGGAAACAAAACCAAATAAGTATTACAAACAATGAAGAGGTTCCTGGGTTCAAGGATTATGTTAACATTTTCTATTTTTTCCCTTCTGGCTTTGATTTATACCTAAGGTAAAAGTTCTCCTAGCCTCTAGTGTATGTCTAGTTTTTAACTGCTTCAGCTAGAGTGCAAACACCCATATCTGGACCAGATGTGTGGTTTATTTAATAACAATATAGTTTATTAGCTTGTTTAGAGAGTGAGAATTGATTTAGAGTTCTTTATAATATTTCTGAAACTCCACAGAAACCCTGGAACTTTCGTAAATCTTAGATTACCTAGGACTCGGAGGTCAATGAAAAGCTTTTTGGTATCTTCGGAGCAAAAACTGGGTATCCTTTATTTTAAGTCATTCGGAAGATTCAAAATACTTTATGCTAATTTAACCATGGAAATATAAAAACAACTAAATTTCCTCCCCCCTTTCTTTCCCTCCACAGCTTAAAGGGAGCTGATGCTGGTAACGGGATCAGAGTGTTTGTACCTGATATTGGGATGTTCATCGCTAGTCTGGCCATCTGGCTCATCTGTAGAAACATCGTTCAGAAACCAGTGACAGAAGCAGCAGCACAGTATAACCTGGAGTTTGAAAATGAAGAATTGGTAAATCTGACTTCATGACTCTTCCTTTGACTTCTCAGGGCCTTGACCCTTAGTAAGTGTGGAAGTGTAATAGGAAGATGGCACTGTTCGTAGAAAAAGAATTAATTTCACTTTTAAGGGGAGCTTTCAGGTCTGTGTACCTTGCTCTTCAGAGAGGAGTTGCGTTAACTAAACATGCTTTGATGAAGTTATTTTAGAGTGCTCCAGAGAAAAATCACATACATTTGGAAAAGTATAAGAATTTTTAAAGGGTAAGAAAACAAACTGAGTAGCATGCATGTTAATTTTGAGCTATGTTTTTTATGGAGGAAGGCTTCAGGGGTGGCTGTTGAATTAGGGAACGTGTCAGATCTCACTCCTTGGCGAATGGGAGCTTCTCACACTGTCCCCCAGCCTGCTTTGGACACTGCTGTGTTCTAATAACTGTACTTTGTTATGGGAGTCTAGGTGACATGGATTTAAAAAGTACTCGATTTAGTAATTGAAAGATGAAATTTACAGAGAAAAAAACTTAATTTGGGCATGTGACACAGACGCTGACAACTACCAAATGTTTTCATTCATAAGCTTTGGCAAGAAACTACACTTGTAAAACTGAAGTTTTAAGCCTTATATAAAAACGGTCACCACAGCGACGTCAAAGGAAGGGAATTCTTAGTTACTGCAAATTACTTATATGCTTTACAACTAAGCAGCAAATTGCCTTTTATACTTATAAGAACAAAACAATAAAGAAAGAGAATCTAATTCAGTGAACCTACGCAAACTAGAAGTGATATTATTGCCTAAAATCCTGATGGTAACAGATATGCAATCACATTGCTTGTCAATACATACTTGGCATAAAAAAGAATTACAGTAAGGTAGCAACTACCCGCCTCTTGCATTCAGTTTACAACCTATAAACCTGCCAGTGTCCTGAAAACAGATAAAACTGTGAAAGTGCTTTTCCTTGTGTTGACTTTACAATTTTAAGGCAGTAAATTTAAAATTTTAATATCTATATTTACATTAGAATTTTTCTTTTATAATACTAACAGCTTTGAAAATCATTTGGCTTAAATAATCATTCCCCAAAATCGTCCAAGTTCAGTGGAAGTAAACCTTTAACTCAAGCTCTCCAGTCTGGGGGTTTCGATTATTGTTAATCATAGAGGCAGGCTTGTTCTTCAGTGATCCTCATATCACAGGCGAGGAGCAATGGATCCGTATTGGAAACAGAATCGACTCTGATGTCCGACATAGAAGCTTCCTAGTGGTGGCTGTACGATGTTGAAAAAATTGTTTATCCTTTTTCTCCTTCTGCAAAGTGGAAATAATGATAACACCTACATCGTAGAGTTGTGAGCACCGAACGAAATCTCAAAGAAACGCCAAGCACAGTGTGCGCTCCTTTGCTTAATGATATGCCACTCGCTCTGCATGTTTCTCTTCTCCAATTTGAGAGGCAGTAGAGCAGTTTTTAAAATGTCCAACTCAGCAGGGTCCTCTCAGATGATAGGAAGTTGGATGGTGTGTTTGAAGCCAATGCACTCAGAAAAAGAATCATCTCCGTGCCATTCATAACGGACAACCGTGAATAAACTACAAAGCTTCTTATAAAAGGAACTTCTGTCCCCAGGGACAATTGCTCTTTTGCCATAGGCCTAGGAAGGCCTACATTGACCAACAGAAGGATGGCTGTTAGGTTCCAGTTAACTTCCGCCACTGGGTGANTTCTGTCCCCAGGGACAATTGCTCTTTTGCCATAGGCCTAGGAAGGCCTACATTGACCAACAGAAGGATGGCTGTTAGGTTCCAGTTAACTTCCGCCACCGGGTGAAGAGACGCAAAGCTATTACATAGGCTCATTCTAACTCATGTTCCCTTCCTGATTCCACTCAGTTCTCAAAGATAGACTATAGCACCTCTCTCCCACTTGAAATCTGTCTAAGTATCTCTGTGCCCCATATATTATTAATCACATTATTTAATGATAATAAGAGAGATGGGTACTCTAAACATTACTTATTTGGGGCTTTGAAAAATACTGACTGTCGTTATCATGAGGTTGATTTCCTCTGTTAAATTTGTTTTGGCTTAATTTAGATATTAATTTGTATTTTTTTAGCATATTCCAGCCTACCAGGTGGCCCAAGAGAAGCAGGCTGGTGTGTGAATCTTCTGAGATAAAGCCACAAGGAAAATTTTTCTTACATGTGAGCAATCTGGTTTGAGTCTGGAAAGAATAGAAGTACATAGCCAAAATAAGCAGGGGAATTTATTTTATTCTGAAGGCCTCGACATATTTCCTGCTGCTTATAAATCTTGGCATTCGCACTCTGGACTGTTTGGTTTTTGGAGGATCCTTTGAAAGAATAGTGTTTACTGGCATTGTTTCTTCTTTCATTTATCTCAGTAGAGAAATGACAAGATTAATCCACTGGTGCCTGGGAGAATTCCTTTTCAAATCCAGCATTGTTTTAAAGTAGCAATTAATCCCTGGAGAGGACTCTTAAGTCTCCCCTAATCTTCATGGACTTCATGATGAGCTCAAGTTTGCTGTTTTAAAGGGCATCCCTAATCCAAGGATCCCCCCGGAAGACCCCAGGAGAGGTGGAGACAAGCAGCAGGTGGGAGACTGACTCGCTCTTGAATTTTACGGAGAGCAGACCTCAGTAAGGGAACCGATGCCTCAAGTGCCGTAGAAGGTTCAATTTCATCTAACACATCTATGGCCTTGTTGGTTTGTTCATTTTAATTTATAAGCATATCTAAAAATCATAACTGGGAGAAAGATTCCTATTCCTAAATCTTAAAAAAAAGAGTTGGGTTATGAAAAGTAAATTGTGTAGAAGAGGGTTAGCTGTGCAATGAAACACTGTATAATTTCACCAAACTGATATTAATCTTGTATATTTCTATACTTTTAACTTTATCTAGCTATCTAATGAGGTTTCAGGCCTTCTTTTTGAAGCAGGTGATATTTTAATATATCATTAAACCAAATTTATGATAAATGTTTATTCAATAGGAATCTTAGTCATGACTTGTCTTCTTAAAGAAGCATCTTCTAAACAGTCTTATAAATCACATATGAAGGCTAAAAAGAATATTCCAGTATAAGTCTTCCACTCTCTGTTAAAACCTCAGGAATGCTGCATTTAGGCCCTACTAATATTATTTGGCAATTCATTCTGAACCTCAAAAACTGCACCGGCCTTTCTAGTACCCAACGTCCATTAGGCAACCGTGGCACCTGCATCCTGCCACATCCGATGACCAGCTGGGCTGCACTTCAAGTTTCAGCTTTGAGGCTCAAGTTACTATTTTTTATAAAGAAACAAATCTAGATCCTGTTTTTCCAAGTACACAGACATAATCACCTGAAACATGGAACCATTCAGAACGATAAGAAGCTGGATGGCTGCCCAGTTGCCATGCAAACCTTGTACTCCTTTACTGTTGCTGCCTCTCAGGATCAGTCTCAGAAACCGGGCAGGAATTACTGACATATGTTCCTCAAAAGTCAGCATGCCTGGTCTGCCTTCTCTGGAACAAACCCATTCACAGTTGGCTTTTAATTCTAGTGGTTTTAGATGCCATTTATTTAAATAAAGGAAAGTTTTTAATTGAAGGAACTTACTGGCCTGCTGTCTTTGAGAAAGCTTCAGTATTACAGTAGGAGTGCCACTATGAGTGTTTATCACAGAGACTAGTTAGGTTTGGATCCATGACTAACTTTACTCCCCACAATGTCTCCCAGCTACATCTCAGTGGAAACAAGGTGAGAGCATGGATTCCTGCTCATCCTGTCTTTTGAGAATGCACGCCGAGGGAGCATACCAGTGTGACAGTCAATCAGAAGCAGCATTGTCACATAGAAGGGCAGGGATGTTTCTATTATTACTTAAAATTTTATTTTTAAATTACAGTTTACATTCAACACTTTTTGTATTGGTTTCAAGTGCACAGCACAACAGTTGGACAATCACATGCTCCACAGTGATCCCCCAATATTTCCAGTACCCACCTGGCTCATACATAGTTAATACACTATTATCAACTATATTCCCTATGCTGTACTTTACATCCCTGTGACCATTTTGTGACTACCATTTAGTACTTCTTAATCCTTTCACCTTTTTCACCTGACCTCTAACCCCTCCACCCTTATGGCAACCGTCAGTCTGTTCTCTGTATCTCTGAGTCTGTTTCTGTTTTATTTGTTTATTTTGTTCTTTAGAGTGAAATCATATAGTATTCGTCTTTCTTTATCTGACTTATTTCACTTAGCACAGTACCCTCTAGGTCTATCCATGCTGTCACAAATGGTATGATTTCATTTTTTTTATGGCCAAGCAATGTCCTGTCGCATATATATACCACCACTTTTTTATTCACTCATCTTTTGTTGGGCGCTTGGGTTGCTTCCATATCTTGGCTATTGTAAATAACACTGCAGTGTACACATTGGTGCATATATTCTTTCGAATTCATGTTTTGAGTTGCTTTGGATATATAACCAGAAGTGGAATCACTGAGTCATAATGCAGTTCCATTCTTAATTTTTTGAGGACTCTCCATACTGTTTTCCATAGTGTCTGCACCAATCTGCATTCCCACCTACAGTGCATGAGGGTTCCCTTTTCTCCACATTCTCACCAGCACTTGTTTATTTATTGATGATAGTCATTATGACAGGTGTGAGGTGGTATTTTCTTGTGGCTTTAATTTGTATTTCTTTGGTGACTAGTAATGTTGAGAATCTTTTCTTATGCCTATTGGCCATTTGTATGTCCTGTTTGGAGAAGTATCTATTTTGGACCTCTGCCCACTTTTTAATTGCATCATTTGAGTTTTGAGGAGAATACAGAGGTGTCTGAGTTCTTTATAAATTTTGGATATTAACATCTTATTAGGTGCCTCATTTGGGAATGTCTACTCCCATTCAGTATGTTGTCTTTCATTCTGTTAATCTTTTTTTTTTGCTCTGCAAAAACTTTTTAGTTTGGTATAGT